GGAGTAGAGAGAGAGAGAGAGAGAGAGAGAGAGAGAGAGAGAGAGAGAGAGAGAGAGAGAGAGAGAGAGAGATCCATGAATTAGAAGTTATGAGAAAGACCACTGAGGATATAATCTACTCACACCATAACATATTATTGAGTTTAGAACATTGAAGAACCCGCCAACATAAAAAGAGAGTGACAAATGAAAGCAAAAGGAAAAAATCTTAAAGAAAAAAAAAGCATGAAAGGTTACGTCTTGTTAGAAAAAAATCCTCCTAGAAAAAGGACATTTGATATGTCATCAATATTCAACTTTTCACGTACCATATTGGAACAATGGTTTAACAACAATGTCTATTCGTGCCTCGCTTTATTCTTCTTGTTCTTTAAGTTTGGCTTGAAGAGAAAGATCCATCTTTTGTCTCGGATCATAAATTGTGACGTTAGTGTTAACTGTTTATGTTTTTAAATACAGACACACGAAACAGAGAGCCGCATTTTTTTTTTCATATTCCACCAAACGGTCCAAATTATCAAGTGTATTTGTCTCCTAAGGCTTCCGTTTTACTTGTCTACTGAGAGGAAAGGGGTGGAGAGCACGATTTGAAGTGTTTCGTGAACAAAGTTATATATAATTTTTGAATTGTAAGATATGGCAGTAAAATCTGTTCAGAACGATAGAACCATCTTTAATATACCGACTTCAACATAAGTTAAGGACCCCTTGCAAACACTCTGAGTGGTCTTCTTAGGTCGACCTGCACGTGGGCGTTCTTGGACTGATCCAGTGGCGTGATGGCGCTGCCTCAGACGGACAATGACAGAGTGTGACACTGCAAGCCTTCTGGCAACTTCTCAGGCCCCAACTCCATCCTCCAGCCATGCCATAGCTCTGGAACGATCAAAGTCTCTCAGCTTTCGTCTTGGTGGCATGTTGATGCGATACTGGATTTTACGCAAACTGCGGCTTTTACTGCTACAAAAGTGAGCAGAGTTCGAGACCGTACGTCCGTTTATGACGTGCACCAGAAATTTTAATTGAGAAATGTCCGTGGTGTCGAACACAAGTCGATAAAAAACAGCAAATTTGGCTAAAATTCCCCGAGGATCTCCGAGCTGCACGTAGTGGTTTTGCCCGTTTTGGAAATTTTGCAGTACGCATTGGTAACTCATTAACACTTTCAGAGCAAAACATTTTGAAACTTTCCTTGCTTTCTTTTTCGTTCCGATTTTTTTAAAAATCAGGGCTGTCTGTCAATGTGGTCCTTAACTTATGTTGAAGTCTGTACAATATCACACCCAACTGGGAATTTCCGTTTGGCTGCGTTATTTCCCTCGTCTTCGCGGGTAGCCACAACGCGCTCGAGTTGGTCTCTTCAAAGTGCTGAAACCCACACTCGTGTGTTGGAGCTTAGAACAATTACAGGTCGAGCGAGAAGTCATTATTAATATTATCTTCTCCTTCCGCGCGGAGGGTTTTCTCAAATTGAGTCAAATGCTGGGG